TTCTCTGCCAATATATATATATATATAAAGAAATATAAAAAATGTCTTACAATGTTCGGTTTTTAGCGGCCAGCTCAAAGTCATTATCAGGATTCACCATGTAGTTATAATTGAACCTTTGACCAGCTTTGCTAGCAATAATTGTACTTTTATCCCAATAATCAGTGGCAACGTTCCGCCAAAACCAATTTCTAATGCAAGTTTGGTAAGAGAGAGGCATTCGTTCGAAACCTTGCACATCCAAAACGTGTTTGCCCGTATTATTATAAGCCATGTTTTCTGTAAAGTTTGAAACCACCTGGAATGAAAAGAAATTAATTCATATGAGAATGTCAAAATATTGCAATAAGAAAATTTAATTGATGAAATTGCATGGTTTTGCATTAATAATAGAGGTAAGAAAGAAAAAAAATTGTTTATTCTCTGATTAACGATACTTTATTTAAAAAAGTAATTTTTTCATTAAATGAAATCAAATACATTTTTCTTCAACAGTACGTAAAACACCGCCGATTTATCGAGCAGAACAGAATTGATAATGATTTATTTTGAGTATTTTTTTAAAAGCATCATTATTATTGGTTCAAACCTTTATACGTCCGTGGGAAGTTTAATTCACATCAATTTAATTAATTTTTAAATGTCAATGGTTAACTATTTTCCTGTCTATGGCTTACCCGGCCATCTGATAACTTCAAAAAATAGAGGAAAAGCAGTGAAGAGCTTTGTTTAAAAAAATGTACTTAACATTAAAGGTTTTACTTGAGTACACAAGTGGGCGACCTTTGTGCTAAAATACAAACTAAGGTAAACGACGTTTAAGAGCACAAAAATATTTATAAATGCAGACAGCTGTTTCAGATGCTCAAAGGGCAACCTTCATTAGTGCAACAGAAAGAAATGAGAGAAAACAGGGTAAATATAGAGAAAGGTGACGTCACAAGGGGGGTTAGAGCAACGGCCAATAGGAGGGAAGGGTGAATGGATGTTCCTTCCTTCCCATTCGTCGTCATCCGTTGCTCTAACTCCCCCTTGTGACGTCACCTTTCTCTATATTTACCCTGTTTTCTCTCATTTCTTTCTGTTGCACTGATGAAGGTTGCCCTTTGAGCATCCGAAACAGCTGTCTGCATTTATAAATATTTTTTGTGGTCTTAAACGTTGTTTACCTTAGTTTGGTTTTACTTGAGGTCAAGAAAAGAAGGGGGTATTTTTATTTGCGCGTCATGCATCGGTTCAATTGATCACTTCTCATCGATCTTATTTATTCTCATAAGCACAAAATTCATTAATTTAATTGCTTATAATCACAGAAATTCAGGTTTATTGCTAATTCTTTAAAGAAAGTAATATTTCAAAAATCCCATCGAACTTTCCAAAAAAAAAAAGATAGTTTTAAAAAAATTTTAGGTAATAAGCTAAGTCAATTTTTCTATTTTTTATAAATCAATCCTAAAGCCAAAAATATTTTAACGTTAACAGAAATAAATGGCCCTAAAAAGGGTGTAAAAATTTGCTCTAATGCAGCCACTTAAGAACGACTCGACAACATTCGGTAAATTGAACTAAGATTATATTATTTTTCTTTTTTATAAAAAAAAAAGTCTTTAAACAGAAAACATTTTTAACTCTATTTATATTATATTAACTTATAATTAAACTTCATTTTTTTTTTAATTTTGCTCATAAATATTTTTTTTAAGATTAGTTAAAAAAAAAATTTGCAAGCTCAATAATATATAACCTGGGTGTTCCGTGAAGACCGTTCTTAACATATAGTCGTAAAACCCTTGTCAAAATAAGAAAGTAAAAAAGTTTACACTTTTTGAAGTCACAAATTATTTTGGCAAGGAAAAATTTTATTTAATTACTTTCCGGAAAACAAAATTGAAAACATCACAATCAGTTTGATTGTCGAAGAAAACACAAAGAACTTGAATGGCGGTTTTTAACAATGTCTCCAAGCTTTATCAGACTATTCATGGGTTTGCAATTTTTTCCCCTTAAAAGTTGATTTTTTTTTCTTAAAAAAAAAACGATCATTTTGATTTTGAAATATATAATTACTGTAATTTTTATGAAAGAAAATTTTGTTAATTATTTGTAATGAATGATTACTTACCTATGAAAAAAAATCAACTGTACTTGAAAAATAATTATTTGAACTTAATATAAAATGTGTGATAAATTAAGGCGTAATAAATGAAAATAGGCGTAATAAATGATAAATTAAGGCGTAATAAATTATTTTAACTTGTAAAATATCTAAAAGATTTGCACTTTTCTGATTAAATTTTTTGTAATTACTACTATAGTTATCACTGTAAAAGTGTGTGTTTTTTTAACATGATTTTAACCTATATTAATGCGAACTATTTATTGTGATGGGACATTATGTATCGTAGTATAATTTTTTTTTTATCGACACAGAATATTTTGTCGGTGAAATGGCCTAACAACGAAATCGGTGAATCAATAAATATTTCGCTGATACATTAATTCACTGTCTTTTATTCTAGTTATTTTCTCTCTCCATTCATTTTCTATATCAAGAATCATTCACAGCAGTTATTGCAATAGCTTTTGTGATGCTAATCTAATTATAATAATACGCTTTAAAAAATGCAACATTTTTCTTAGTAATAAATATGTGCAAAATACAACTAGAACAGCAAATGTCAAAAAGATTTCATTTTTGCATCGTGATGTGAAGCAAAGGGTTTAGAGAATTTTCAATTTAAACATACTATAAAAGCTTTGTTTCAGTCCAGGTTTAAAATATTCCAACACAAATGCACTAAATTACGCAGAAGTGCAAGTGACATAACGCGTAATCTAATAAAAAAAATCTTTTCTGACAATGGCAACATAGGGCACAAAGTTTGCTTTAGGCTAAGTTTAAAAAGATGACGTAACGACTTTGCTGACGAAATGACCCTGTCGACGAAACAACTCTCTCGTCGAAACGGCCTGTCGACGATATGGTGCCAATTAAAAGACCTGTCGATGAAATAGCCCATTGATGAAATTATTGTCGATTAAATGAAACAGACCCTATCCATCTGGTTTTAATACTTTTCATCCCACTTTCCTCACCAGTGATTTGACAAATTTTAATGCTGTTTTTATTTCTTCATTACTAAAGTATTACTTTGAGACCTTTAATGTGTATGCTCTTTTGACTTAAGTTTTTACAAAGATTCTAAAAAATATAGATTAGTTATAACGGAAAATCCTATATATTTAATTAATATATTTACCAGTTAATGTAATTTTTAATTGCAGTTTATTACATTAAACTGATTATCAACGTACCTGTGAAATAACAAGGGTATCTCTATACCGAGCATAGTTCCTAGCAAAATAGTTTCTTAAAACAGTTATAAACTGAAACGCTCCAGACTTCCTTCCTTGCAAATTCAGTACTTCTCGATTTCTATTTTCAGTGAAGAGGTTATTGACGATCATTCCTTTTAGGGCCGAAACAGCCGTTCGAGAATCTACCCTCAGTAAGAGTCCTCCTTGGTTCTTCATGATCAGATTATTGTAGAAGAACACCAGCTTTGCGTTTTGCACATCCAATAATACAGCACTATTTCCAGCAGTGAAATTTCCGAATAATTCTCTGCCATTGTTGGTAATGCGATTGTATCTTATGGTCACTGCTGGTGTGATTTCTCCGGCGCTTCTGTAGGCTATACCTTCTTCACCATTTTGCGATATTTCGGAATAGGATATGTTATGTTGAGAATCTCGAACTGAAAATAGAGAACATGTATTTATATTAGTAATAGCAATAAAATTCGATTGAATTGCATACATATTAATGAAACTATTAATATAATTAATTAATAATAACATCGATATGTCAAGCATATTTATTTAAGATCATTTACCAAAATGGCTGTGCTATGTATTCTTAAACAGTTAATAAAGATCTTACCTGTGGGATGAGATATGGGCAATGTGACAACTTCAGCAATGAATCCATGATCTCCACTGCCTCCAATGGTGTGCAAAAGAATACTTAGAGTTGTATACGATGAAACGTAAAATTTAATTGCGTCATCAGATCCGGAATCCAATCCTATGGAGGTCAATTGAGGAGAAGACACATTAAACACATCTCCATCATAGATTTGTATGGAATCTGGCTTTGCGGCATACTTTGTTCCGTTGAAGAGATTGAATTGTAAAAGTCTGAAGCCAATTTGTTTCCCATAATGACGAGAGCTGAAGATTTTGACGCAATCAACAGGTTGGTTATCGTATTTATAATAAAGAATTATCCTGTTGTCAATTTCCATCTGCTTGTTGGTGTCACATATATCAACTAAGCCGAAAATTCCATAAGACATGTCTATCTGTTGTAGTGGATCATAACCCAATTTACTGGCATCCATATCTCCAGACGATTCCCCAGTTAAAGACAAGAAATTGATGCCAACTCCCATGTTGTTTCTAACGATAAGCTCATTGAAGGCCAAATTACCAGACACGCCAATAACTTCAATGCCGTGCGATGCACTTTCACTCACGTTCACATAATCAATTTGTACCTCTCTCTGAACAAGCTGAATTGCAGCACTTTTTTCATTATGAAGAACGCCAGCGCCTTGAACGTGAACGTAAGAAAGTCTAGACAAGTCAGTTGAAATGTAATTTAGAGTTGGACGACTTAAAGGTGATTCTGGATTTTCGAAGCTGTGTATAGAAAAACGAACACCACCCCAGTGATCAATATTTTTGGGTAAGACTTCAGAACCACAGTATACGTACACAAAATCTCCATCGTGTGGGCACATATAGTTATCAATATAGCCGTTCAACCTATATTCACATTCCATCAGTGATGACTCTGTTCCAATGCACTCTAGTGGATGTGGCCAGGATCTAATATGACTAATGTGCGTTGGACCCATGTCCAGGCGAGGTCCGAATGATATGTGCGCATTTAATGTGCTCTGTCCTAATTCTTTACAGACAACTTGAGCATTTCTTTCGGTAAATCTAGCGTCACAAATAGGAACCCATTGCTGAGTGGTACGGTTGTATATTTCGAGGAAACCATCATTTCTATATTTATCACATTTCTCATCAATGCATAATCTAGACGAGACAGCTCCAACTTGCCTGCGGAAACGATGGTTGTCAGATATTTCTACTGGTTTCATAATTATAGGGTCGGTTTTGGTTCCTTGGGCATCAAGTTCTCCTAGAACAAGAATGCCAACACTTGGGTAAAATTCCATCACCACCCCAGGTTCTATAGTTAAAGTAGCACCGGGCATAACAGTTAAATCCGATGTCACTATGTAAGGTTTATTTTTGAGAGGAAGCACAAGATTGTGATACAGGCGACCGCCTAGATATCCATCAATAAGGAAAAGCTGTTCTTTGTTGTCAAAAGGTATTAAATGGCCATCAATATCAGGAATGCTTAAATATGGATTGAAATCAGCTATAGCATAACCATTCCAGTCATCAAAATCGAAAATCCTTTTTTGAATGAGAACAAAATCAGAAGTTCCCCACCAGTTTTTTTGCACATTGATTTTATTTTCGACGGATCCAGTATAAATTCCTGTCAAAAGCTCAAACTGTAAATTTGGATTGTCAAAAATGTTATGAGTTACATTAATAGATTGTACTCCTCGGGCACCCAAAGCATAACTTGTGGGTTGGTATCCAAATTTCTGCCCAACGCCTATATCTCGATTGTGAGTGATAATATTCTTTCGGAAATAAGCAGGCACTAATCCAAATTTATTAGCATGGCTCTGCAAATTAAATTCTACGCCAAATACAGCTGAGTTGTTTGTAATGTAATTACTCTCGACTAATAATTCTTTTTCCATACCGGAGAAACTTAGAATACCTCTTTTGCAAATATTGCTTTCAAATAATGAACGGGAAAGATTAACACGAGCAAAATGTCCACTTATAGAAAATTCAAACTTGTTATTGTTTTTAAATAAGCAATCGTGCATTGCAAATGAGTGTGTATAGTTCTCGGAATATTGCCATACATATGGAAGCCTTATATCTACGCCCCCTTCGCCATTTCTTTCAAACGCAGTGGAATTAATCGTCCAATGAAATAAATTGTTCGAATTGCGAATGTCTCTGCTGTAGTGCAACAATCCTTTTCTATTTTCTTTTATGGTGCAATTTATCAAGGTGTAGTTGATCTGTAAGAAATAATATTGAATTAGATAACAAATTACGTAACGTCTTTAAATGTATTTAACGTTTTATCAGGGTCTATTTTATTAATCAATACTATTTGCAATTTTATTGATTACACTCCAGATTGCTCCGTAATAATTGTTATGACATAAAGTTCTAACTAGTATTAATTCTTAGTTACAAATAACTAATAAAACATAGCATTAAATTATTAAAAAAAAACATTTAAATTAAATTATGAGTAATGGTTAATGCTCAATAAGACTCTAAAATAAAATAACTTAAAATTTAAAAAATATCTCCACAATATTTTACGCAGCATTTTTCTATTGAGAATTCAAGCAAAAAGATGATCAAGAAGTCTACTTAGTATTTTGAAATTTGAAGAGTAAGAAAACAACTCTTAACAAACCTCTGCAAGATTTTTTATGTAAGGATCCCAAAATGGCGCCCACACGAACATGGCTTCGTCTTTGCTTTGGGAGATCTCAGTGTTCGTGATGAGAATAGTTTCGTTGGTGTATCGATGAAAATGATCATTCCGATCACTAATATCTCTGTTGAAATGATGACTTGAAATGCCTCTGCTGCAACCTCTAATGGCTACTGAATCAATGAGCAGCGTCGGATGAATTTCCTTCTGCTGTTTATTTCTTTGCCCTATAAATAGAATGATTTTTCAAATTATAATTAAAAAACAACGCGCATTTTTTGACAAAACAAAATAAGTAAGTAGGAGCTAAATGAGATTGGAATTTAAAAATTGGAGGCAATAACATCTGAGTAAGCTAAAACATTACACCATAATTCTAAACATATGTGGATTGTAAGTCAATTTAATAGATGATCCAAACGCAAAATTTGCTAATACATTTTTTTTCTTTTTGAGGATGAAGTTGTGGTTAAATGTGTCACCATCATCACTCCGATTTCTTTCTCAGATTTTAATATAAGCACACTCATTCAATTTTCATGAGATTATTGTTTCAATTTTCTTAAAAAAATTAGGGGGTTCTACCAACCGGCCCCCTACAATTATTTGCTCGATCAATTTTGTTTCTTGCACTGAAGATGACAGATAGTTATATCAAAACTAAAAATTATTAAAAAAATAGATTCTATTAAACTCTTAATTGTAGTAATACATATACTGTTACACGTACTTAGTTTTCCGATTTTATTGTAATAACAATTAAACCTAATCATTTTTTTCGGTTGCCATAAAACTCATTTAATTTTTGGTTAGTATTAAAACTCTGTAAATATTTTTCGTCAAAGAAATTATATAGCAATTGTACAAAATGTTAATTCTTAATATTGTTTCAGAATTTCAAAAAGTTTTTTTTTATTCAATAAAATTCAAAAACAGTCTTACCATCCACGGATGCTACGTATATTATTGCTTGGCCACTTGGATTCTGCCCAGGATGATATTCTATTAGCATTCCATAACCTGGACTTCTCAGTGGAAATGCTGTCAAATTGTTGCGAGCATTCCAACGAGGTACATCGTGTCCCGTCTCTAACCTTCCATAAATGGTCATGCTTTCAGTTGAAGTTTCCTTAAAAGGGTTCAGAACTACAATTCCTAAGCTTCTGCCACTTGTGGTGGTTATGTTGAATCGTTTAACTGTTGTTGCTTGAGTAAACACAAAATACCGATACTCATCAAAATTTAGAGAGATAGTTCCTGTGATATCATCAGGAATTCTAATAACCTTACTTCTCTCTTCTAAATTAATCCAAGAGATTAAGTCTCTTTGTTCATTTTTAGAAAACATTGGATTATAGTGAATACCGCTTCCAGCGTTATTAGACATTAGACATCTCAGAACACTTAATCCTTGAGTATGTAAAACTAAACCATGACGATGATTCGATGCTAACAGACTGTCAAGTAATTGACGGCTTTCCGCTACGAACACTTCATTCCACATTATTCCCAAGCCTGAGTCGGTGTTGTTATGGATCTTGAGTTTTGAAAGATGGTGTCGATTAAAATCTATTTGAAGAGCTGGTTTAAAACTGCTTGTAGCGTAATCCAAAAGCCCAGCATATTCAACAATCATATTTTTTAGCCTACATTCACCTGCAGCCATGCCTAAGCGCAGACCAGACCACGAAGGCTGATAACATCGCAATCCAACTTTAGTAGAACAAGAATTTTCAAATTTTCTCTCTGATTTACAAAAAGTGATATCAGTATCCTGAAAGGTACATTGAATGTTAGATAAAAGTATTTCGTAACGAGAACTGTCAAATTCTGATTGCTCTAAAAGCCAATCTTCTGGATGTAAGACCAATCCCAGTTGATTACAAGCAACAGATGCGTCAGCAATATCCCATCCATAACTGCACACACTACCCCATCTTCCATCAACGTATACTTCTAATAAGCCTTCAGATCCTTGCGATAGGCGAACTCTTTTCTCATCCCCATTGGCAGTGGTGGTAAAACTATTGATAGTATACGTAATCGGTACAGATTCCAAATCACTTTCGGAAATCAGCATGCCTTGAACCATCATGCCAACAGATCGATCGAACTTTAAAGTCGAACCAGGTTCTATATGTAATTTTCCATTTTTAGGTCGGACATATATATCACGTTTGACAGTATAAGTACCTTTAGGTAAAAATATAACACCAGGAACTTCACCCCCGATTTCCATCCCAGATTGAAAAGGGATGATTTTATCACGTTCACGAACATCTGATATTGCTGCAGTAGACTCAAGATCAGAAGAAATTGTAAGAAATGGTAAAAATTCAACTTGAGCTAAGTTATAACGATCCTTCCTATCAAATATCTTTTCATAAACTTTACGCGCTTCAACAGTTCCCCAATAGTTAAAACTTGCGTTTATAACTATGTGGTGTTTCTCCACGTGAGATCCCAGCTGATAAACTGAATCAATATTATCAAAACGATTTCTGTAAACATGTGTACTTTGTGATGACACCACTACGACGGCACTGACACGTGATCGGGGATTAAGAGAAGAATAAGGTTCTCGAACAATGTTCCTTTCTAAGTCGTTATTATAAAATAATAGTTCTTGCACGGATGGACCTTTTGCTACTCCTATATTAGCAACAAATTTACCATAGTTGAATGCAAAGAAGTTGCGTTGAATTTCAACTTTAGCAGGTACGTTCAAAAAATCGTCATCATCCAATCCTCCAACAAAAATGACACCTCTTTCGTGTCCCCTAAACTCGTTGTGCTCAATCAGTAAGTGCATGTGTAGAACAGGAGAAGCTTCAATTGCCAGATAATCACTTTCTAAAAACTGATTATGCGTTATCAACAAATTGCTTTGTTTTACGTTCCTGGTTGTCCACCAACAAGATGATATCAACACGCCACTTTCTCTATTTTTGCGAAAAGAGTTCAAACTTACATTCCAAAATGAATCAGCTAGGCACTGGTTCCCAATCATGATACCATAAAGAGTGTTATTCACTACTTCTGAGCGAGTGATTTGTACCGTGTGGTTAAACGCCAAATGGTTTGATGTTTCATTAAACCAGAATGCGATTCCTCTCTGCAAATTATTTGCCACGGAAGAACGATCCACTTGTACATAACCTCCAGAAAATGTAATGTTGATTCCGTCTCCATTGTTATCAGATATGAGACTGCTGTTTATAACAATATCTCCAGTTCCACTGGCGATGTCGATTCCAGCTAAGTAACCGTTTTCTGAAACAAGTGAACTATTTACTAACAAGCCTGATTTTTGCTCATGCATAGTGATTCCCTTTCCAAGGTTGTTCGTGATGCGACTGTTTGTTACGTTCAAATCGTACGCTCGCCCTGAAAATGCAATAAAAAGAGATAAGTAATGCAATAAAAGAATGGAGCTAATAACGTATCGGAAATACCCTCTAAATATTACCTTGATTGGCAGTAATTTCCACAACGAAAGCAGCGAAGAAACTCTTAATAGGCCGGTACTTCAACAAGATTTTGTGTTTGGTACTGGTTACACTTTGCGGGAATGTACCGTTTAAAACGGGAATAGATGCGAGAAGTCTATTACTATCTGTAGCTCCATCATAAACATCGATACGGGAAGCGTACTTTGCGTTTGTAAAGTCACTTGCAAATCCCATGAAGTTTACAGTAAGAACTTGTCCTGTCCAACTTGCGACTTCAAAGGCCTAAAAATAGTTAAAATTTTTAAAGAAATTTTTTTTAATGAAAATCAAGACATCAATTTGCAGATAATTTCGAGTTAAATCATGGTTATTAAGTTAATTATTTTCAGAACTATATTCTTCAGAATGTTTCCAAGCTAATACAATGAAATTTAAGCTATTACAGATTTCATAAGTCTAAATTTTATCTTAAAATACTAAACCAAAACTGAAATTTAAAAGTTGCTTTTATAAGTTAATTAATAAAACCGTAACAAAACCCTTACATAATACATATCTGGGAATTTATCTGTAAATCACAATCTATGAATTTAAACAAAATAATTTTTGTAATATATTTCTCATATATGTAAAAATAGAGAAATTAAAAAAACAATGCTCATATTATATTAAACTTTAAAAAGGATCATTTTTGTAAAAATGATGGAATGAAAGTAATTAATCCCTTTTTTTTATTTCTTCTGTTTAAAAAAACAAATGTTAATTTCGTAGCACATCAATTGATCGCAAAAAGTACGAACAGCAAAAAACAAGTCTTTCTCGTCAAATAAACTAAACGTAAAGATTGATCTTGTTGATATGTTCCCGGCAATGCATGACAATAATAGAATAAATCTAGAGAATAATTAGGCATTTTATCGAAGGCTTGGTGTTTTCAGGCAAAGCATGAAATCGGAGATATTTTATATCTCTTTAACACTAGATTGCCTACGAAAGTCATTTTAACTGCTTTTTAATTTCAATTACGAAAACAATGATGTATATAATGGCACAATTTCTTAGAATTCTGTAACTTTTTGTGAGACATATAGTTTTTTTTACTGTTAATATTTATGAATAACTTGTTATATAACTGTAAGTAATGTAAAAAATATTAAAAATTAATTTTAAACGAATTTCTTTACACATTATTTATTTTTTTACAATCCAGTCATTTTGACTGCTTTTGGGCAATATAGGTATATATACTAAGTTTCAGTCTTTCTAGTGTTAACCAACTATAGATACCTAGAAGTTCTAAAATATGAAAAATGCTTTTACTGCAAAATAAAAAATGACGCAAGGTTACTACGAGGTTACTATTTAAAAGACATTAATTTCTAAATATAATTTTTTCTTTTTTTGTTAAAAATAATGCCACCGCCAAAAATATTATTGCTGAAACGCCGACATTTTATAGAATGCCCTATGTATTTCTTCTTATTTGGCATTCAATTGAATCCCTAGGCAATAAGGGAAAAGTTTAATCGCTACAGTACTTTGTTAACCAGTTTTTGGCATTATGTTGAAATAACATTAAACATAGGTATAGAATAATAGTAAAGCAACTTTAATAAAGTACCTGCTCGCAATTTTGAACATAATATTGTTCTCTTCTCTGAACATAGCTCCGGTATACAGGATATATTTGTTCGTCTAAAATATTGCCAGTATCACAGAAAGAGGGAGCTGTTCCAAAGTTATCGTGGTGGAAATAGTGAACACCATCACCACCATTGTCTCTGATGTCTACTCCATTAAGAGTTACTTGGCTGATGCTGCTATTTACAAAAATGCCATAACCTAGAAATAAAATAAAGAAAAAACTTTAGTAAAGGCCTTTCAAATTAGACATATTTTTAAGCGTTGAATAAAACAAACAACTTCCATTGTGGCTCTGTCGTTAAACTTTACATGCATGATAAGTATCGTTTTTTACGTAATCAGATCAAAATAATGTTCACCGAATTCTGGGATAAGCGGAAAGCAAAATAAAGGAAAGATTAATTCAAAACTCAATGAAAACGTAATTTTTTTTAATTAGGAAATTGTAAAGAATAGGTCACAAATATATTACGAAGTTTTGCAAAGTGTAATTTAATATAAGGAGAAATATATATGGCTATAATCAAAATCCAAATGAAATCCAAGTGGTGGAGGATTTTAGTGGTGACAGAAGTTATAGTGAAGGTGAGGCAATCTAAAATTTGCGTTTTAGGTCTCAAAAATGTGTTTTCTCCTTTTCAGTCTAGTTAAAAAACATAGTTTTTTTAATATTTTTATTTTAGTATTGTCTTTATTTTCGTTTTGTGATTTATAACTCTAGAAATGTTTGGTAGACGTCGAAATTTCAATTAGCATTAAAATTACATTGAAGTTAGCTTGCACCATTAACCCTTTCGAAGACCATGGTAAGTATACTTATTAACACTTTTTTACCACTTTTAATTTAGGTTTCCGTTTGTTAATAACTTCAGCCTTCTTGAAGTGTGTTTGTATAAAATTGGTAACCATTTGTTAGTTTAAAAAAACGTGTAAAAATTATAAAATATCTAATTCTTTTTGAAGTTTGTAGCATTTATAAAATTTATTTTATAAATAAAGAAAAATAAATGTCAATAAGTTCCTAATAGGTCATGTTAAATATATTTACCACCAATAAAATGGCATTTTTATAAACTAAATGAGTTTTCTTTCTTATATCAATTACAGTTCTTAAAACAATTTCAATTCCAAAAATACTTTAATTTACCTTTACTAGAAATAAATGACCCATTAAAGGGTTAAGGTAGCAATTGCTGTTTGTATAGTCATCCAGCAAAGAGATCCAGTTTAAATTTAAGCACTCTAGCTAGTTGTACTGTGATCTAAAATTCTGCTCGTAGCAGTCAAGAATCGATTGAAGCTTGCATTTTAGCACAGAGCACCAGTTCAAATTCGAGCACTGTAACTAGTCGGAAAGAGGCCGAAAATTTGATAAACAATAAACGCCTTTTGGTGATATGGTTGTTACTTCAATACGTAGCGGTCGAAAAATAATTGGATCTTGTATTAGAGTCGGACGTGAGGAATTATTTGGTAAATGATCAGAGTTTTGATTAATCATAAATTTCTTGTGACAATAATATAGCTATAAATTCTGTTTGTAGTGGTTCTGATTGTTTGTTTGAAACTTGGTTTGTCATCAGAAACAAAGCTCCAGTAGCGATTTGGGTGTTTTGACTAGTCGGAAAGTGGTCAAAATTTCGATTACCGGATTCAACTCTTAAAAAACGAAAGTAAGAAATGCTGTAAAATAAAACTGAAGAAAAACTCGTAACGGAACTCTGTAACTTCCACGATACGATATAATTACAATTCAAGGTATTTGTGGTTAAGTAATTACTTTTTAGAAAGTGTAGAATGAAGTGCAAGAAATAAATTAGGAAAACCCTCCGTTAAATAGCTGCATACATAATAAGGTTAGTGATTACAACTCACAACGTGATTATAAACCTGTTCCTTCAATGGTGTTTATTTCGAGATAAGGTTATAATTATTTAGTAGTGAAAATTGTGATGAGAAAATAAAATTAAAAAACGGAAAAAGCTGCAGTCTTTCTTATTTATATATTTAATAACGTTTCGAGAACATCGAAAAATTTTAAGATAATTTCAAGTTTTTTTTCCTAACAAAAATTAAACCAAATGGAAATTTATTTCATATTTCTCTCAGCTCACGCACGCTTACAAGAATTTAAATTATAATTTAAATTATAATTTTAATTAGTATTTTAAGAAGAGCGAAGGTCAAACCATCTTCTCGTATTTTTCATCCTCAGAACTTTACACGCGCGATTAAAATATGCGACATTAAAAATGTCGAAACATAATATGTTCAATCTCGTTCCTCCATTTCTGATACAAATTGAATGTGGTGGAAAGGAGAGCCATATTATTTTAATAAACTCGATTGCATGAATAATCACTTAAATCGAAACTCGATTCAATTTAAGACTTTGCTAAGGCTGTCGAAAAGTTGCACATAATTATAGCTAATTATACAACTGATTTTTATAATAATGCATAGTTAAAAGATCTACACGTCATTATAATTCAACGCTCAACCGTTTTTCTGTGAGTATACAATTAAAGCATCTACTCGTCAATTGATTTAACGTTGAGTCGTTTTTCTGTGAGTGTACAATTAAATCATCTACTCGTCAATTGATTCAACGTTGAATAGTTTTTCTGTGAGTGTACAATTAAAGCATCTACTCTTCAATTGATTCAACGTTGAATAGTTTTTCTATGAGTGTACAATTAAATCATCTACTCGTCAATTGATTTAACGTTGAGTCGTTTTTCTGTGAGTGTACAATTAAATCATCTACTCGTCGATTGATTTAACGTTGAATAGTTTTTCTGTGAGTGTACAATTAAATCATCTACTCGTCAATTGATTCAACGTTGAATAGTTTTTCTGTGAGTGTACAATTAAAGCATCTACTCGTCAATTGATTCAACGTTGAATAGTTTTTCTGTGAGTGTAAAATTAAAGCATCTACTCGTCAATTGATTTAACATTGAGTCGTTTTTCTGTGAGTGTACAATTAAACCATCTACTCGTCAATTGATTCAACGTTGAATAGTTTTTCTGTGAGTGTACAATTAAACCATCTACTCGTCATTGTGGTTCAACGTTCAATCGTTTTTATATGAGTCTGTGAGTGTACAAGTAAAACCTTTGCACGATATTATGGGTCAATTCATAACCGATTTTTCTGAAAGTATAATTAAAACCCTTAAGAGGCCTCTACTCTCGCCATCTTGGGTTCTAGGTTCAATTTTTAATTTGAATTTCTCGATAATTTTTGTACTTGACAAACTTTTAATCATGTATATTATTATTAGAAAGCACATTATCTGTCAAAAAAGATTGGAAATAAAGGGATAGCTTTATTAGATTAGGACAAGTAGCGCTTGAATTTTTAGAATTCTCTGAATATTTCTTCAAAACTTAAAAATAATATAAAAAAATGCAATTTGTGGTTTTGAGTAAGTATTTAAAACTACACGTTTCTCAGATTTTAGATTTATTAAACTCTAATCTTATTGCAACTTAAATTGAGGAAACGTGATTTGGATGACGCTAAAAATGTCTCTTAACATTAATTAGGTGAAAATAAAGATACTTATTACAAATATAAAAAATAACCTTTACAAATATAAAAAAATAATAAGATACTTATACTAATAATAAAAGATACTTATTACAAATATAAAAAGATAACTGTTGACTATTTAAGTATCTTTGAAAAATTGTTGCTTGCGAAATTGTATTGGCATAATTTTGCGAGAAAAAATAAATAGAGATTCTAAAATATTACACGTTTTAGATCTCAAATTCTGATTGGGTGATCGCCTTATATTTCGCATGCATCGGCCGATAGTGCCAAATAGAGTAGATATCCATCTTCAATTTATTTGAGAAAATTAAATGAAAAGCATTAAAAGCATATTTAGATTTTTCCCTTCTCATCTCTCCACCCTTTAGACAGCTGAGTTAGGTTATGTGAGGAAGGACCTCGTAACTTCATTCTCTACAATGTAACGAAAAACTTTATTTGAGACACAAAAATAAATAAAATAAACAGTGGAACTTACCTCTATTTTCCGCAAGCAGACAATTTTCCAGAGAAAATGTGTTACGTGGTTCTATAACATTAATTGCATTTAAAGCAGAATTTCTGACATGCACGGTTTCCATTATGGGTGGTTGACCAATAACATCTATGGCAGGCACAGCATAACCATAGGCATCTCTACCAGCATGAAAGATGTTAACATGTTCAAGACTAGATAAAGAAATTATTTTTTTAACTTTGTTCTCGATGGGTTCTTTTATTTTCGTCTTGCCATAACTAAACTTGACACCTCTCCAATTCGAAGATTTTTGACTACCAAGGTATCCTTCACATGATATTCCAATATCCGCATGAAAATCTACAATGGAGAAGAAAAAGTCGATAAATATTAGACAGAAATTAATTATACTATGGGGAAAACTAAAGAGAAAGTACATTTTTTATTAAACTATAAATACGATTCAAAAATGTTGCGTTAGAAAGAATTATTTCTATTCGCTTACAGGTTAGATGACTGAATGTTAAATTACATTGATTTAAAGCACTTGGAAAGGTTTTTAAAAAAATGTAAACTAGGCCGAAATTGCAATTTTCAATACATTTTTTGGCGTTTTCTAAGTTCCTGTACCAAACAAAAGATGGGTCAATTATTTTCTCTTTTGCTTCGTTCTGAGACTAATTAGGATATGAAGTATCGTATTTTAAAAACTTGACTAAGTTTACGGTTTATTATCAATTTAGGAATTTAAATACGTAACAAAAAGTGGGCTAAAGAAAGCGATACTTCATTTCGAACTAAAATTCCGATTCATTTGCTCTTTTGATAGGTATTTTGCTAAATTGTTCGGTTTTTCGTATGAAATATTCATGATTCCCCACTCCTTCATTTCCTTAAGAAAGTGAATATGACTCTATCACATGAAAGTGATAGAGTCATATTCACTTTCTTAAAAACCAGTTTATATCGATGCGCAAAATTCAGTCTAAAACTTTGAAAAGTAAAAATGAAATTAAAACTTAAAACAGTAAAATAATATGACTTACGAAAATATATATAACTGTAGTATGTTATTTTTAAGAAAATAAAAATTTCTTTAATTTCATTTTTAATGGATACATGATTTGTGTTAATTGATCTTTTTTTACCCTTATTTGTTTAATTTTTTCTCTAGTAGAGTTGTTTGTAATCATCATAATTTTATGAATATTCCTTAACTTAATTTTTTGTAAAAGTTTTGTTTTTTTAAGTAAAATATCGATGCTATTTTATTTTTTCTACATTTTTTATTGTAGCTATCATGGACATTCGGTATGACGTAACAAGAAGATAAAAAATTTTTTCAGTTCTCTAATTTTGATTATTAATAACATAATAACATTTCCGAAATTTCTTTTTAAGAAAATTTGGAGAAAAACGAAGCGATAAAAAAGCTCAATTCATCTTAATTCATATTGATACGAGAAAGATTAAACTTCTTACTTTTTTTTAAAATGCGTCATAAATTTTAAGATTATTGAATTTTTTTCTGTAGAAAAATTTTCTGTTTTTTACTTTACCTGATGTTTTATGCTGGTTGATTTTCTACAGAAAAAAACTTGTTCCTTCTAATTTTAGTTAATTAAGAAATGTTAAATAAGTAAAAAAAGTGGCTTTAAGTTTTGTATTATATCTCACCAAAAGTTCAAAAATTCTCTAAAAAAAAAGAGAATTTTTAAACTTTTGTAAGAAATCAATATTTTATATTGGAGTACACTAAATGGTTTGACCACTTATAATTTAATTAAATAATATTAATTCTAAAACATGAAATAAGTTTTACTATTATATAACTTTTAATATTAATTTTAATAAATTTACTATTATATTTACTAATTTTGTTGAAAATGTTAGTCTCTCTGCAGCTAGACTAGACGCGCATTACGATTTAAAAAAGAAAATAATTAATATAAGAATTAACAATTTACTAAAGTTGTTTTAAATCATTTGTATAAATGCTACTCATATTTAATATTAAAAATATGTTCTTGAAAAATTCCGATTTTCGTTAAAACAACTGAAACTATTAATATTCATCAAAGTGAAAATCTTCCACATTTTTATTTTGGAATAATGTTATTTATGTTTTGCTCATCAGCGTGATATTACGTTATAACTCTTTGGTCAGAGACTGTCCAAAATCTCAAGTATATAATTTTGGATTAAGTATAAACGTCAGTGGCGTTCTCAAAGTAATGGGTGCACTCTTTACCAGTAAAGTTTATAGCTGTACAACGTTTAGCAATATATACCGCTTTTCAAGTTAATATGCTTTAAGTTTTAAGTACACCACCAATAAACATTATAAGGGACGAAAGAATCAGTGCTTCACATGTAACTTTTTTTTTTCAATTATACATATATCAAATTTTATATCTAGTATCCTTATAACAGTTTTCTTTTCTAAAATAAAAAGTTTCACTACAAAAAATCAAAATATATAGAAAAAAGTTAATGAAAAAAATAAAGGGGATTATTGAAAAATTTTCCATTTAAGATCCGGTCATTACAAAGTTCAGATCATGTAAAAAAAAAATGTAAACAAGTTGTCTTGGCGAAATAAGAATGACATATGAACAAACGAATAGTTTAGCGCTAAGTTAGAAAAAAAAAAATTAGATGCCGGTTCTTCATCAGGCGAACAATGAACACAACATCAAAGAGGTCATGGACACCGGTCGGCCTCTCGTCCGCGTTGAGCCCAACAACAGCGAAAGTGAAACATAAGCTGCTCACTCTAAAGAAGAATGCAAGCATGAACAATTAAGCACAAAGGCGATAAAAGAGCCCAATTCAAAATGGCAAGAAGTGCGAGAACATCCATGGCACTTCCGACAATCAATGAGTTTCGCATCGTTTTTTTTTTTTTTTTTTTTTTTTTTTTTTTTTTTTTAAGGAAATAAACTGTGAGTAAAAAAATTCCTAACGCACAAAACAAACAATTTTAAGAGACGATTTCCATTTTCTCAAAAGGTAATTATCGTCACGCTTAAATCATTATTGTTTGCGTTTTGGAAGAGCTTCAGTTTTACTTTCACGTTTTAAAACTTTTCACGTTAACTACAACTTCTGCAGACGATTTTTATAATAATAATGAAAAATTATTTAATAAATATAAGTTAAGGTAAGGAAATTTGTTTTCTTTTACACATGTTTACTAAACCGTCACATTTTAAAACTAGGCAGATAATTTATGAAGAATTTAAAGATATTCTGATTTTTCCTAAATGCATTCGTGGAAAAAAAAATAGTTGAGGAAAACCATCTATGATTACTTAACGACACAATGACGGATTATTATTTCCTTCTGCAAGCTTTCTTTTTACAACAATATTTCAAAATGAGTTTAAATAATCCCAGCAGTGGTATTTATTCTTTACAAATGCATTTCCTTGTGACTCTAATTTTGCGTAGTTATTTCGAATTTGTCCAAAGGGAAACAGACGTGGAATATTTTGTTACTTTAAAATTGAACCAAATGTGTTTCGAAAAGTAAGACACAGTATTTTTCTCTTCGTATTATAAAATATCGTAAATTTTTAACGGAAATTAACACTGAAATTAAAAAGAAAACTAAAAATTGTTCTTAATACTGAACAAGAATTATCTATAGAAAACTATTTTAACAGTTTATCAAAAATAAAGACGCAACTTCTCTCACCCACTAATTGTTTAAATATTATTTTACTTATCAGCATATCAGCAACCCGTGATTTATCGTATTTTTCAAAAATACAATTCTTTATTACGATAAAACATTTGCAAAACGTTCTTTTCACAAAAAATCCAACTTGTATTAAATCGTTAGTAACAAATTTAGAAGAAGAACGCCATACGATATTTAAATTATTGTATGTAAATATTAGTCTTCCATTTCCATAAAAATAGGGGTTGGTTCAGCATTCACACGAATGTACTGTTTCGAATACAGGACGTAGTATGTTCTTAGCGGCACGCAAATGCTTCCATCGAATCAGAATTCAGTTCATTAAACGCTCTAAAACGATCAATAATCTCGTTTAGTTTTTGAGCACACTACATACAAGATGTGGGAAATAGATCTATTCAAGACCCTATCCTGTTATTAAATGTTGTTTTTATTTTACATGTGTAATTGCTAAATTATAGGTGATATAATTCTTATAATTCTTAGAATTAACATTACCAAGTTAGCATTACCAAGTTATCAGAAAAAATTATTAAAAAATGGAAGCTGTAAAACTTAAAACATAGTTGGGAAAATTTCGTTTACCTTAATTTTGAAAACAGTTAGAGTATGTATTTAAAAAATTAATACAGCAAACTCAATGTCAGTTGAAACATTATATTACATCTTTAAAAAATTATGGTGTAGTTGTCCAAACACCTTTGTGTCTAAATGCACACAATTACCAAAACTGTAGAAATTTCAAATTGCCGGTTAAATTAAGACAATTTGAGAAATATTCTTATTGATACATGATACATTAATGTCTCATCAATATCCAAATGTTTTTAAACAAAGCACTGCTAACACAAAAGAACAACTTGGTGGAAAGCAACGAAATATCAAAATTGTAAAACAACTCCTATTTTGTTTCCATTACCACTGTCTGGATTTTCTCATGTGATTAAAATCGATATTTCACCCCAAAATGGTGTTGACATACAAAATTAAATTATATATTGTTATGAAATCTTTTAAGGTGTCAAAAGACTTTTTTGTCTTTTGTTGAGGGAAATAATGAGTTTAGTCAGAAATACATATATTATATGCACGCTTTTATATTCAAGATGATTTGGCGGGAAATTATATCACTGACTTAATTTTCAACCTATGAATAAAAAATAAACTATAACAATGAAATAATTAAACTTAGAATAATCAGACGTTAAAATTAGAAAACTTTCTTTAGCATCATTTAGCAAACTTTTGTTAAAGAACTAGATTAAAATGTATTATAGCGCGAGTTAAGAGCAAGAAACAAATAAAAAACGTTATGACTCCTGAATAAATATTACTTCAATTTGCAGTTGCTATGCAGCTGAAGATTCACTAAATTTAGGTTAGCTAGGTCAATTGAAACTTGGCCCTTATTTTATTGTTTTCTTTTTTGGAAGTAGTAACTAGACGAAACTAAATCGAGTTTAGATTCAAAATGAGTTAAGTTTAGGCGGTCAATATCGATTGAACCATCCTGATAAGGAGGATTACTTTTTATATATTTGTTGTGATTTAACCAAAAACGTTGCTTTTGAGAAAATAGAGCAAAACCAATTATATTTAGACGTTGTTAGATATAGATAGAGATACGTTTTTTTTTTCTTTAAAAAAACATTTT